CCATAAACAACATCCATACAAATGGAGAAAAGATTAAAGTTGTCAAAGACTTAATTTTGCTCAGATCCGTCATCAACACTCATGGAAGCAGCAGTCAAGAAATCAAACAACGTATTGCATTAGACAAATCTGGTGCACAAGACCTCTTTAAAGTGTTGAAAAGCAAAGATGTCAATTTGAGGACTAAGGTCCACCTGACCCAAGCTAGGGTATTTTCAATAACCTCGTATTCATGTGGAATTTGGACAATGAATAAGGAAGACCATAGAAGAATTGATGCATTTGAGTGATGGTGTTGGAGGACAATATTAAAAGTATCATGGATTGCCAAAAGAACAAACAGATCTGTGTTGGAAGAAGTACAGCCAGAATGCTCCTTGGAAGCTAGGATGACCAGACTTCGTCTCTCACTCTTTGGACATAGCTTCAGGAGGGATCAGTCCCTGGAGAAGAAGATTATGTTTGGGACTAAGCATGATTTTGTGATGAGTTTGTTTTGTTTTCCATCTTCCATAAATAGTCACATGGGTGTGAATCCTTTGGACACCCAAATGGTTTCATCTTGATGGTCTCTCTCATCTGGATGATTTGTCTTTGTTTTTGTCTTGTCTTTATCTTGTTTTAAAACTAAATAAAGACTCTTCATATGCATTTGAATGTGAGTTAATTTCTTCCCTACAACAGGGAAACCAACTATGCCTTGCCTGTATTTCTTGAAGTCCACATTAGTCCAGCTACTTATCAGGATTGTGGTTTAGGCAATATGCCATTTTCAACCCGAGGAATATGTCTTGTGTTACTACATAGGTCAAATTTTGCTTTTTGTAACTTGTGTCCATTAGTTCCTATTAAGGATTGAATTGTGTCCTCAAAAAAAAAAAAAATTGTGTTGCAATTCCTAATCCTTAAGAGTCTTGGAGTGATGCTGTGAACTAAGGCGCTGGACTGTAAAGTCGGTTTGAACCACAAGGTCAGTGGTTCAAGCTCACCAGCTGCTTCCTGGAAACACCATGGGTGGGAACCGAATCAGTTGCCCTTAACAACAACAACATGCCTGTGTTTGGACTCCTGGTGTGGCACTATTGATCAGCACTGGGCTTCGAACCACAAGGCCAGCAGTTCAAATTCCTCCTTATGAATCAGATCCAAATTGGCAACACTTAACAACAACAATATGCCTTTGTATAGGAGCCCTGGTAGAGTAATGGGTTATGAGTTAGGTTGCCAACCGCAAGGTCAGCAGTTCGAGTCCACCAGATGCTCCATGGGAGAAAAATGAGGCTTTCTGCTCCCGTAAATTTATAGCCTCGTTAGCTCTATTAAGAGCTGCATCAATTGCTCCTCAGAAACCCTATAGGGGGTCACTATGAGTTGGAACTGACTTGAGGACAAATGAGTTGGAATGGACTTCAAGAGCACACCACTACCAAGCATGTGTTTATATGCCCGTTTGGGAATGGTTTTCTTTGATATGTTAATGAGATTGTATTAGCATAGAGCATGACAGCAATTGTGAGGTTGGCCCAGGACCAGGCAGTGGGCAGTGTTTCAATCTGTTGTGCATAGGGTCGCTACGAGTGGGTACCGACTTGATGGCACCTAACAACAACAAAATACCATATGAAAATTATCAAGGAACCAAGGAGCCGATGCTGAAAATAGAGAAAGCTTCTTTTAGAGTCAGAACACTGGGTGACTTGAACTTCTAGTCTCCTAAATTGAGAGAGAATAAATTTGTTTCTTAAAGCCATCCACTTGTTATAGCGACATTAGATAACTAAGAAAGTTCCTAAAATACCTGACAATATTGTGAAGTATCTGAAGGAAGCTGTCATGCTCCAAGAAGACATGGAATCAGGCTGACCTGAAAATTTAGTGACTCTTGTCTAGCATATGGTGAGGGCTCAACAGATGCCAGACTTTGTCTTCCCAGTTCACACTACATATTGTGACCATAGATTTCCAAACTGAAACCATAGCTCTGAGTACGGCAGTAACTTGCTCAAAATTGTTATGTTACTTTGCATCGTATTTCTGTCTTTTCTATAACTATATATTGCTTTTTAAATTTATAGCCTGTCTTACCTTTCTAAAATTATAAGCATGGTGACGGCAGGGACCATGTATACTAGCAACGTTAATTAGATTTGCTGCCTGGCTATGAATGAATACTAAAGGTATTTAGATAAGATTACTTTCTTTCCATTTTACAATTGTGACAAAATTTATATACCATAAAATTCTCCCTTTAAAAATGTCCAATTCAATGTTTTGTTTAATATATCCATCACTACTAATTCCAGAATCTTTCCTTCACTCCAGAAAGAAATTGCATACCCATTAGCAGTCATTCATTCGCACCCTGCCTTCTTCTTCCCATCTCCTGGTACCCACTGACCTACTTTCTGTCTCTACAAAATTTCTGACTATGGACTTTTACATAAATGGAATCATAGAATATGTGACCTTTTGGAGCTGACTTCTTTCACTCAGTGAACTATTTTCAAGGTTCATCCATATTGTAGCTGAATATAGCAGAACAGTATTCCATTGTATGAATACACAACATTTGGTTTATCCAACATGACTTTTAACATCCTTTCCAACTCTATGCTCTCCTTCCTACTCGAGTGTAAGAGGACAACAGAAGTTGATAAAGTAAACCAAAGTAAGTCATTATTCATCATAGTTTTTCTATGTCCTAGAGTGCAAAAATGTTATCTCCCACAGATTATGAGTGGACACTCCTTTTGTGATCCATCAAATTTACTTCCTGAGCTCCAAAAAAAAGGAACCCTGATGGCACAGTGGGTTAAGCATCAGACTGCTAATGGCAAGGTTGACCATTACAATCCACCAGAGGATCCCAGGGAGAAAGATGAGGTAGACTGCTTCTTTGGAAACCCTAGTGAGTTTGGGGATTTGAGCTCTGAAAGCAATAAATTGAGACTCCCTACTTGGTGGTCTGATGACTGTAAATCCACTAGTAGTTCTGAGGTGGAGAAAATATCTGGTGATCTAAGGAGCTCTAGTGGCGTAGTGGTTACGAATCGGGCTGCGAACCTCAAGGTCAGCAGTTCGAAACTACCAGCTGTTCCGCAGGAGAAAGATGTGGCTTTCTGTTCTTGTAAAGATTTTTTTTTTTTTTTTAAATTAAAAGTTTTTATTTTGCATTGAGTGAAAGTTTACAGGGCACATCATCAGCTTCACATTCAACCATTCATATAGCTTGTTTCATTACATTGATTATTAACCCCGCCATATATCATCAGTTTACAGTGTTTCTCTCTATCCTCTTTAGCTTTTTTTTTTTGGGGTGGGGGGGACTTGGCTTATTGGAATTTACAGTCTCGGCTTTTAGGGGAGGTTTTTACATTTGTCTGTGGATATCCAGGGCTCACGTATGAGATTACTAACAACCATTACTGAATAATCAGATGAGGGACAGTTTGTTATGTCTACTAGGTGGCTAGAGTCTGATCCTCAGAGCCTATGGTTTGGACGGTCAACAACGCTTGGGCCCACAGGGGTTTGGCCTCCTGACCGGGTTCTGCATCTGAGTCCTCCTTTTTTATTGATTGTTTAAGGGACGCTGCCAGTCTTAGGTGGTCAGTGCGAATTCCTCAGTCTTACCAGTCATTGAGACTCATTGCAGCATGGCAATGTCTCTGTACCAAGTAGCCGAGGTTCCACGTGATCCTTACCCGTCTCTGGCCACACGTCCAGCATAAACAGCCGCCATCCGAGGAAGGCAGGGAGGGAGGAGATCAGCTGGGGACCCCATGCGCCCGACGTTGCTGGCCCACCACCTGCTCTAAGGTGACCAAGCAGGATCACTATGCTGAGGTTCAATCCAGTTCCTAGGGGATCTTATTCTCTAGCATGGGTAGCAAATGGGTAGCCACGCAGTGTTCACTTTGAGAATTACTTATATCATAAAATTGAGCGTGTAGCTGATGAATATCCCCAGACAAGTGTGTATTGTTCCACAACCTCCTAAAATGCTGTTGGATTAAGTTCCAATTAATGTTCTCGTAAAGATTTGCAACCTAGGAAACCCTGTGCAGGGTTGCTATGAATCGGAACCGACTCCACGGCACATAACAACAACAATGCTATAAAGATGACAGCCTAGGAACCTATGGGACCGCTCTACTCTGTCACATGGAGTCACTATGGATGGGAAACATTCCACAGCACACATACCAACTTTTACTTCAGGAGTCAGCTTCTTCCTCACTCTAGCGATTTCTTGAAACCCAACACTCTGGAATAGTGTCTTTTCATCAGTCTTGTTGTTGTTGTTGTTAAGTGCCATCGAGTCGGTTCCGACCCATAGCGACCCTGTAACAGGGTTTCCGAGGGTGTAAATCTTTACGGGAGTAGAAAGCCTTATCTTTCTCCATCAGTCTAATTGGTCTCAATATTGACTGAGATTAGATGATGCTCTCTTCCCCCTCTGTCCACCTGCACGTGCAAATGCTCTGCCATTCAGAGCCGTGAAAAAAAAAGCCTTTCTTTGTTTTCCAAGGAAATTCAGGTAAAAGGAGGGGTGAGGGAAATGGTATTTTTGACTTTCCTCACAATCCCAGACATTGGAAAGAAAAAGGATTTCCTTTGGGCTGCTGCCACGACTCTGATCTTTTATGCTGATAAAATATTTCCTTCTTTGGAAAAAAAAAAAAAAAAGTTCTGGAAAAGTCGGGCCATCGCAACTGAGAAGCTAAACCTACACAGATTTTAGTGTTAAAAACAGTGAGATGTTTACCTTAACGGGGGATTTTCTTCCGAAACGTTCAGGTCGTGTAACTAGAATCCAGCTGGATCAGCAGTGCTGGCGGGAAGGAGGACTACAGGATCCAGAGATCTTTGGAAACTCCAGCAGCTCCAAGCTTGTTGGCTACTACAGTTTCCCGGAGGAGTGACGCCATGAAAACAAACCCTGATTGGTCAGACCTGAACTGAATTCTCCATTTATGGACAGATTGCCCGGCCCCATACGAGGCTCAGCCAGAGGAGTACGGAGTAGTGGCAGAAGAATAGAGTGGCGAAACAGAACTAGGCATACGCGCTGAGCGCATCGGACTCACCTAGTCTAGCGTTCGGCCCGAGTGGACTCTGCGGCATGAGACCTGCCTGCTAAACCCCTCCCCTTTTTCACCCTCACCTAGCACCCCCGATCCCGCCTGGATGGAGTCCTTTCTGGGTTCCCATTGGCTCCTGTGAGTGCTTGGGTGTCGAGAGCCTGTTTTTGGCGAAGGGAACCAACTTTTGAAGTTCGCCCAGGAGACTGCGTTCCGGTCCCAGATCCGCGGCAGCCGGATCGGGTGGAGGCGCGACCGCGGCGCAAGTCACCATGGTGAGTTGGCCGCGCCGCGTCCCAGGACGCCTGACCTCGGGATGGGGCAGGAAGCTCCAGCGCGGGGCATCCTACCTTGGGCGTGCTGCAGAGGCCAGGGCTGGAGAAGGTGGACGCGGGAGTCAGCACGTCGCGAGCTCTTATTTCCTGCTGCTTTCGGCAAACCCGGATTGAAAGTGGGAGTGAGGGGCAAAGGAAAACTTTCTTTCAAACTGCTTTCTGCGTCGCGAAACTTTGTGGCTGCGTTGCTATGGCTGCCAGCTGTCGGAAGCCAGAGTGTGGGCACATCTGTTTTCCAGGGGCACGACCGTCGGAGGGGATCCCTTTCTTCTTGCTGGGAAGGTGGGGGAAGCCGTCTGTGTCTAATCTGGATTTAACCCGCCTGGGCGAGGTTCTCCGGGGCGTTTGCGCCAGGGCCGTGCTCACTACGCCCCCCTCTCCCTGCCCGCCTGCGGGCACCAGCGCAGGCTGACTCCCTCGGCGCACCCCGGCTGTGGGGCGGCCTGGCCAGCGCCCGCAGCTGTCCCGCCTGGCATCGGCACGCTGGCGGGGGCGGCACCCGGCCTGCACTGACGCGGGGCGGCGCGGGCGGCACAAAGGCAGCTAAGGGCGCCAGGTAGGGCGAGCACCTGGCGGTGGTTTGTCTGCAGAGAGCGAACCCTTCCCGGGGCAATGTGGAGCCACGCTGCCTGGACCTAGAAGGGGCGCGGGCCGATAGGGTCTTTGTGCCGAAAAGGGCGAGGAAACCCCTCCTGTGTGAGGGCCCTCATCCCGTATCCAAGTGCTAGGTGACTTTCGGGTGCACGGTGATCCTTTCGGGCGGGAGGGTGTCCTCTTGAGTTAAAAGTTTTTGTGCTTTTACCTTTGGCACTTTGAGAGTGTAAGGAAGGGAGTCCCCTTCCTTCTCTTACTCTCTTCTTTTTCCTCTTAAGCCCCCCTGTTACCCTCCCCCCCCCCAAAAAAAAAAAAAGCTTTGGGCTTCGGTGTGGTGTACTTTTCTTTCCGAAGCACAAAAGCGATTCTGTTTTGAAGAGAGTGTGGCAGTCCATCAGAAAAAAAAACAAAAAAAGTTACACCACAAGACTTCATAGTTTCCACACTTGCTTCTTCGAATCAGCCTGCTTAGGTGGTTGAACTGGTCTTTTTCTGGTTTGTTGTTTTTTTAATGACTGTGAAAGTGGAGCTAAGTAAAAACTGACATCGCATGAATTTACAAATCCATGTATGTTCCTTGTAGCCAGCCTGAGAGATACGTAGCAAAGGCCCATAGAAGCTACATATAAAGCTCAGAAGCAGTTTTTGATGGGGAGCTGTGTTTTTTTAAAAAAGAATGATTTAAAAACAAACAAAAACTCTTTGAAAGGACATCTTTGACTAAAGCTTTTCCTTTTTACCTAGCCCAAAATTATGTCATGTTTGTCCCAACCTAGGTTGACACTTTATCTACAAATAAACTTCCTCTTACAATTTTAGGATTTAAGAAGTCAGCCTACCTGAATTATTTTTGCAAGCTCTATTGAGAACTATTTACTTTTAGAGTGTAATGAGTGGAGCTTTAGATATGTCTGAGAAAAAAAAAATCAATGTGTTTATGGTAAGAGCTTAAAGAATCTTCCTGAATTTAACTATGCCAGTGGTGTCTTGGGAACATTAGCTTTCCCATAGTTAAATTCATTTTTCCTGCTCAGCCTGCAAACTAACCTTGGATGCCTTTTTTCTAGACCTTAGAAACTCAATACTTAATTCAGCCCCATTGCTGTTGAAGTAGATGGTTGGTCAAATGGGAGCTGAAGTTATGTGCTAGGAAGAGAGTTGTGTCCGGAGTTTTGTAGTCAGCCTATGGGAGGACAAGGTGTAACTTACCTACTGATGGGCTCTCTGCCATCAGCACAGATGGGCATGTTGTGGGCCCCCAGAAGACTATCTCTGCATCTGATACAGTTGTTGAGGCCACGATTCCCTGATAGAAACGTTGAAACAGCTGGTTGTCCTGAAATAGGACATGTGCCATTGTGAAATCTACCAGGTCTAGAATAATTTGCTGGCAAAAATGGAATGAATCCTTTCTTCCCTGCTCTGACAAATTAAGTCTCCTCATTAGATATCTTATGAAGTTGCCTTAGAACAGAGCATCAACATCTTAAATAATCAGGAAGTGAGGTTATAATATTTATTGTTTATGTAAGACCCCTTCAAGCCAAATCAAGCATCATTTTGTGTTCCACATCTGTCTGGGCCTGTCCTGCTGTATTCTTCCAGCTGCACAGAACGGAAGGGACAGGGTATTTGCCTTTGGGAGTGTGGCTGAGGATTGGCATGGAGAATATAATTCATCAGTAGACCTTTGGCGAGGCTTCAGGGACAGCCCCTGTACTGTACTGTGTGGATTTTTCTCTCTTTTACTTTGTTTGAGAGAGGGATAGAGTGAGGCCTCTTAGGATGTTTCATAGCACATTAGGAAGACTTCCCCACCTGTGCTTAAGGCCCTAGCAAGACCCATTCACTTGTGACTCAGTGGAAAGATCGCATGTTCTGACTCATGGCCCCAATGTATACTTTTTAATTTACCTAATATCTTCCTCCTGCAAATTTATTTGGGAACACCTTTCTCCTGTTACATGAATGAGTCAAAAAATGGTCTCTGGTTATTAGCTCACAGTTGTTTACTTCTTCATAGCAAGCTGAGACCTGTTAGCACAAAAAGAGCTCAGTGGCACCAAACTCAAATGTGTACACACCCAATTGTTATTAAAAATAGCTCTAATAAGTCACTTAGAGCTGGTCTATGTTACATACCCCCCCCCAAACTGAAGCCAGTATTTGCTAGTCATGTTGTTGTTAAGTGCCTTCGAACTGGCTCAGTCTCATAGTAACCCTGTGTTCAAATAACATTGCCAGGTCCTGCTTCAGCCCCACAACTGTTACTATGTCTGACCCCATTATTGCAGCGACTGTGTCAGTCTGTCTTGTTGGGGATCTTCCTCTTGCTCACTGACTTTAAACTTTACCAAGTATGATGGTCTGCTCTAGAGACTGGTCCCTCCTGGTGGTATTGTTGTTAAGTGCTGTCGAAGCAGTTCTGACTTATAGTGACCCTTATAGGGTTTCCAAGGAGCAGCTGGTGAGTTGGAACCGCTGACATTGTGGTTCAAACCGACCTCAAGGTCCAGTGCTTTATTTCACAGTGTCACACCAAGACAGATTTTTTTGTTTCTCTGTCACTCCTTGGTAATTTTAACATTCTTTAATACCATAATTCAAATGCATCAATTCTTCTACAGTCTTGCTTATTCATTGTACAGTTTTTAATTGCATATAACATATTTTCAATGGAAAATACCATGACTTGGGTCAGGTTCACATTAGTCTCTAAAGTGACACCTTTGCTCTTTAACACTTTATGAAAGTCTTTTGCAGGTTTGCCCAATGCAACACGTCATTTGATTTCTTGACTGCTGCTGCCATGAGCATTGATTGTGGATCCAATTAAAAGGAAATCTTTGGCAACTTTGATCTTTTCTCTGTTTATCATAATATTGCTTATAGATCCACTTGTCAGGATTTTTGCTTTTGTTACATTGAGTTATAATTCACACTGAAGGCTGTAGTCTCTGATCTTCATCAGTCGGTGTTTGAAGACCTTTTTGCTTTCTACTAGCTGTTGCTGTTAAGTGCTGTCAAGTTGGTTCCGACTCATAGTGACTCTGTGTTGGGTGGTTCCAAATGGGTTTGAACTGCCGATCTTGAAGTTAGCAGTCCGCTACTAGGTACAGATCAAATTAAAATCTATGATTCAAAGGACCCCACGGTGCTGTCAAGAAGAGAAAGCTATGTTCATCTGCTTCTGTAAAGATTATAGTTCTGCTCTATCCTATAGGGTCTCTGGACTTTTTGTGTGTGCTTTAAGTTACCTTTTTATTGTGATTTAGGTGAAGATATACAGAGCAGATCATCACTTTTGCATGTAACAAATTCATACACGTTTTGTTTTGTGTAACTGATGGCTGGCCCCTCAACATAACATCACTTATTCCACTTCCTGTCTGTGTTTCCCGTTTCCAGTCCTCCTTTCCTAGCCCTTCTGAATTGTTTCCTTGGGTAAATGCTGCCCTTTTAATCTCAAGTGGTTGTTTTTTTCTAAGGTGTACCTACCTCACTGGAATTCTGGTGTGGCACTATGGGTTAATGCACTGGACTGCAAGGTCGGTTTAAACTGCAAGATTGGCATTTCAAGCTCCGCTCCTCAGAAGCCCTATGTAGGGTTGCTATAGGTCTGAACTGACTTGATGGCACTTAATAACAACAACAACATATACCTCACTGTAGTCCTGGTATGGCGCTGTAGCATAAGCACTGGACCACTAGGCCAGTTTGAATCACAAGGTTAGTGGTTCAATTCACCAACTTTCCTCAGAAATACTATATAGGGTCGCTATGAGTCAGAACCAACTCGATGGCACATAACAACAACAACAACTGCTTTAGGAATTCTTTGACCCAGTAGACTCCACACCTTGGAGGAGGAACACTGCCTTGGGACACGTCCTGTCCCCCCATTTCCTACAACCTCCACTTCTCCTCTTCACCAGGGTTTTCTTGCCCTTTTCTTCTGGTGGCTCCCTGCAGCCCTTACCTCGGGGGAAGACCTCCTACTGTGTGTGTGATCTCTAGCAGGTGGCTGCCAGTGTCTTTCCCAATAAATAGCTTATTGTGTAATGCTGCTGTCTCCAGGGAATTCCATCAAACTCCAGGTTGGAAAACCTAAGACCACAACAAGGCAATATGAATTTGTTTATTTTTCCTTTTAGAAAAAGAGATTTGACCTGAAGAAAAAGCCTGCACATCTCTATAGTTTGGTATACCTTTTGTAGTTCTTGTTGTTAAGTGCCGTCAAATCGATCTCCCCTCATAGCAACCCTGTATAGTGTTTCTAAGGAGCAGCTGCTGGGTTTGAACTGCCAACCTTGTGGTTAGCAGTCAAGTGCTTACTTATACTACAG